GGGAATTCTGGGAGTTGAAGTCCACTCATCTTGAAGTGGCCAAGTTTGGACAGCACTGCTCTATAGTATCATAGTTATTTCTGTCATTCCACTGGGTCCATCCAATACAGGCGAAAAACTGATAACCTGGGTGGGAGACTGGCTATTTGTACTGACCCAGAGGCTTTCACAGAGCAATGCACTATGTATACTATTTTTTCCCCAAGGAAAGAAGTATATGAAACTACATCGGATACCATGTCTTATTCTTTTGATCTTTTTTTCACTTCCAGATGTTGTGTTGCAAAGATGTTCAAACTGTGGTCCACAAGTCCCATCCACTGAAACATTGTGGGATAATAGGCGATGAAATGAAAGCAACTTGGGGGAGAAACATGTTAAAAAGGAAGGAACCGCAGAACTATGCAAAATAACACAAACACATTTTGTAGTTGCTGAACATTAAAACAGGTATATAGCGAGAACAGCTGAAAGGACCAATCAAGACTAGGTAAGACAAAAATGTAAAGTATATTACAAAGATTTCAACTCACTTATATTACCTTAGAGATGAACTGAGAGAGCAAAGTTTCTGCTGTTAACTGATATTGCACTGCCATCAAAAAGACCACTCATTTCAAGGTGCTGGGTTTCAACCTTGAATTAACAAGAATAACCCAAAAAGGAGAGGACAACTTTTTAGTGCCACTGGGCACTTTGGGATTTTTGAGAGCCTAATACTGGTGCCATCACAATTTGGCCCATCACATAACTCCCATTTACCAGGAAGCAAACTCTGGTGATCCATGCATGTGTGTATGTGTGTCAAAAAAGTCAAGATGGCTGCAACTGTGTGACTGAAGCTCAACTCCTTTTTTTACATGCATTGCACATGTACATTGTCCTTAAAAAGGAAGAGGGCTTTGATCACACCTTTGCAGCTGCCCTCTTGACTTTTTTGATCCCCTCCTGTGGATCCCCCTACTTCTCACTGCCTCATCATCATAGCTTCTCAGGATACTCTTTACCATCCCAGCTGAATTTCACCTTTTTTAAAGGGCAGGGGGAGAGATCAGTGGACACCCATGCAAAGAAAGGTTATGATTGCAGCCACATTCCATAGTTGCTTATAAACAAATATGAAGTTAAAAGCTGACACTTTGCTTTGCAACATCACATTTCCTTTGTTATTATGTTTTAATGATAAGAACCTCAAAATTATATGACGCTCAGATGAAGCAGTGAGCTTGGATGACGCCACATTCAGTGCCTGTGTGGATATTGTTAAGTACAGATACCGTATGACATAGTCCTGACTAGGTGGAGACAGGCATCTCATTAGCAGGCTTCTAAGCATCACATCTGTTCTATTCTCTTTGATGGTTCTTTGCTGCTTAGCTTGCAATGAAGCTGTTTCTCTTGGCTTCCATATCAGCTCTTACTCTCCTTGGCTCTGTCCGCTTGGCACTCTAGGAAAAGTGTGTTGTGGGGAGAGGAAAAGATACCTGGTTTCTTGTGCACATCGAATTCTGCAGCCTTCTTTAGGAATGACCAAGCCTAAATGCATCCTCAGTCTACAGTTAGTGGGCCCTGTGTGAGGCCAGACGTGAGTCCCTGGGTGCATGACAGAATACTTGATCTGCAAAAAGATGTACAGTTGATTTTTAAAAAAGGCATAGTTATACCAACCTTCTAAAAGTATAGCTCTTCAGGCCACATAATGGTATCTTAATTAAAACTGAATCTCCTAGAACTATTTAATTCCATTTAAATAATATACATACATTATATGTTTTTATGCATATGTATATATCACTGAATGTATCTATCGTGGATTAATTTTCACTTTAAAAATAAGAATATATTTCTACCAATGGCTTTATTTGTATGCATTAATCACAGTTTAGAGAGACACAAATGTCTTAATTTTGTCCTTTCATATGACCAACAGAAAGATTTTAATCTTGAGCTGCAAGCTGTAATTAATGATTACATGACCCATAGTTAAGAACGGAGCCTATTGTAGCAAAATTTGAGTTAAATACACAATGATT